TGGGACTTGAACTCGGGGCTTAGGTACTGTCTTTTTTGCTCAAGGCTAGTGTTATACCACGTGTGTGTGTGTGTGCGTGCGCGCATGCCAGTTCTGGGACTTGAACTCGGGGCTTAGGTACTCTTTTTTGCTCAAGGCTAGTGTTATACCGTGTGTGTGTGTGTGTGTGTGTGTGTGTGTGTGTGTGTGTGTGTGTGTGTGTGTGTGTGTGTGTGTGTGTGTGTGTGTGTGTGCCAGTTCTGGGACTTGAACTCTGGGCTTAGGTACTGTCTCTTTTTCGCTCAAGGCTAGTGTTCTACCACTTGAACTACAGCTCCACTTTTGGCTTTTTGGTGGTTAATTGGAGATGAGAATCTCATGGACTTTTCTGCCCGGGCTGGCTTCGAACCACAATCCTCAGATCTCAGCCTCCTAAGTAGGTAGGATTACAAGTGTGAGCCACTGGTGCCTGTCTTATGGGGTGATTTTGTTGTGTGTGTATGCTAGTCCTGAGGCTGTCCAAGCACTGTCCCTGAATTTTAGTGCTCAAAGCTAGCACTCTACCACTTGAGCCATAGCTCCACTTCCACCTTAATTGGAGATAATAGTCTCACAGACTTTGCTGCACAGGATGGCTTTGAACCACCATCCTCAGATCTCAGCCTCTTGAGTACCTAGGATTACAGGTGTGATGTACCTGTACACAGCCATTATGTGGTGATTTTTAGTGTTAGTTTCTGTGGGTTTTAAAAAAAGTGACTTGAGATTAACCAAATGCCACCACTCCCACCATCTTTCTATAACCTTCTAGTATTTGGTTTTATTTTAATTTAGAGCTCTAATTAATCTGGAAATTAATAAGCACTCTGAAGGAAGGTTATCTTTTGATTTTTTCCCTCAAGTAGATGGTCCCATCATCATTTGTTGAGTTTGCCATTTGTTGTTTCCCTGTCTGCCTGGATGCAATTCCAGGTTCTCTTTTGTTCCTTCCTTCCATTTGTCTATTCCTTACTGATATCATAGGGATCAAAGGAACTACCTGTGCAAGAAGCTTTTCTAGGCATTGTAACAGCAGGTTTATAGGCCCTTGAAGAAGGACTTACCCTGAAGGAACAGAAAGAAGGCCGGTTCAGTATGGGTTTGGTACTGCAATGGTAGCTGGTGAGAGAAAAGCTTGTGACACTAACAATGTAGAATTAGGGTTTACAGTGAATACAATAGCCTTATGAAAGACTTTATAAAGGAATGTCAGGAACTTTAGCTGGTTTTCCATTCCCTTTTGAATGGCTATATGTAGTATATATGTGGTTGGACAAATCACTTTCAGATTAGCTGTTTTCTTCTTGGCACTACAAATATGTTTTTGTTATTGTCTTTAATGAGTGTTTTGGTTTTTGTTTTGTTTTGTTTTGCCTTTTTTAGTGGTGATGGGAATGGAACTCTGAGCCTAGCACATAAATCACTGGTGTATGTCCCCAGCCCTTGGTTGAGACAAGGTCTCACTGTGTAACTGAGACTTGAACTTGCAATGTTTTTGACATAGCCTCCTGAGTGCTGTTAGTACATCTTTTGCCTAGAGAATACATTTCTGTCTGATTAAAAAGCTATAAAATGGCCAAGTGCTGGTGGCTCATGCCTGTAATCCTAGCTACTCAGGAGGCTGTGAATAAATTTTCATCATCCATTTTTTCCTTAGTAATGGGGCTTGAACTCTGGGCATGGGCACTGTCCCTGAGCTCTTCAGCTCAAGGCAAGTGCTCTACCACTTGAGCCACAGTGTCACTTCCGCTTTTCTGGTGGTTCATTGGAGATAAGAGTCTCACAAACTTTCCTGCCTGGGCTGGCTTTGAACCGCAATCCTCAGATCTTAGCCTCTTGAGTAGCTAGGATTAGAGGTATGAGCCACCATCACTGAGTAGCTAGAATTACTTGCATGAGCCACCAGCAATCATCCCTTATTTTATAGAGGCAGAAACTGATGCATTGATAAGTTAACTTAGTTACCTATCATTACTTAGAGATTAAGTTTCACAGTTAAATGCTGAATTGGGGCATGTAGAAGGTTAATAAGTATACTCTGATTTCTTTAATAATGAATTGTGGTTCAAAGCCAGCTCAGTCAGGAAAGACCATGAGACACTTACCTCCAGTTAACCAGCAAAAAGCCCAAAGTGGAAGTGTAGCTTATATGGTAGAGTACTGACCTTGAGTGAAAAAAGCTAAGAGACAGTGTACAAGCCCTGATTTCAGGCCCTAGTAATAGCACACAAAGAAGAAATACAAAAGAACTGTTGAGGCATTTTCTGATATTACAGCTGAATAACACAGACTGAATAATTTGTAAAGAATAGAGGTTTATTTGGTACATGATTCTAGAGGCTGAGAACTCCAAGAGAATGGTGATGGCATCTGGGGAGGAATGTGGATTGAGTCATAACATGATCAGACAAAACAAAACATGCTAGCTTGTGTCTTCCTCTTATAAAACCACTAATGCCATCATGAGGACCTCATCTTTTTGACCTCATCTGAGCTACCTATCTTCTAAAGGTTACCTCCAAATACCTTTAACACATGAATTTGTTTTGTTTTGTTTTTTGGTCATGAGGCTTGAACCCTGGGCCTGAGTACTCTCCCTCAGCTCTTCGGCTCAAGGCTAGTGAACACATTAATTTAATGTTTAATTTTCCTATATAAATTCTGGGAGACAAACATTAAAACCATGGCAATAAAAAGCCTACTCACTAGCACAATGCATCTTCCTTTTAAGTAGTCATTTATTCATTTCTTGATATTCTTCACAGAAATTTTATACATGCATAGACAAATAAGACTGTCTCACCCTCATTTTACACAGTTGATGACAATACTGCACACACTGTTGTGCTTTATGTCTTCTTTATTTCACGGTGTATATTGGAGATCTTTGGATAGTAGGATGAAGAGAGCACCTAATTATTTTTCATCTTTTGTGGCTGTATTGTCTAGATACGTCAAAATATGCTTAACAGGGCATTCATTATTGATGGATATTTGGGTTTTGTGGGGCTTTCCCCCCTTGGTACTGTAGTTTGAACTTGGAGCTTCATGCTTGCTCACTCTACCACTTGAGCCACTCCTCCAGCTCTCAGCTCTTGTTTTGATATAGCAGATGGTACAGCGAGGCATCTAGTTTGTGTGGATTCTACATAAGCATGTATGTGGCATTTGTACTTATATTGTATTTATTATTTATATTGTACTTATATATTGTCCTCCAGAGAAAATATAAGTTTTCATGCCAACATTTTAAGTCCTGTATTGTCATCATCATGGCACGGTGATGTATTTCAAACTTTTTAATCCTATGTCAATCTGAAAGTGAATAATATTTTTTAAGTTTTATTTTCAATTTGTGTTACTATTATTGGCTGAAGGTAAGTATCATTTTATAATGTTTGTGAGTTATTTGTATCTCCTTTTGTGAGAATGAAATCTGGGGTCAGAGTGAAATCTACTACTGAGCCATCCTCTTAGGCCTTATATTTCTTCACTATCAACTCTGCTCATATCCTTTGTCTAGTTTTCTATTGGAATACAGACTACTGGCCTTTTGCTTAAAAATTTGTGGTATTCTACATATTAGGAAAAGTAATTACGTTTTTCCTAATCATAGTTTATCTTCTGACTTTGTTCTGGGTTTTGTGTTCTAGAAAGAAAGATCATTTTTATTCCAGTGTTACAAAATAATTTATCTCTGCCTTGGCCTAGTACTTTGATGATGTCATTCTTTCCATGTAAGTATCTGATCCATTTAGAATTCATCATCACATGAAGTGTGATATTGGCTCTATCTGTAATAGGGAGCTCCCTGTTGTCTCAGTCTTATTTATGGAATATTCCTGACCCATTGGGCTGATGGAATGTGGTGTGAGGGAAAGAGAAGCCAAGGAAGATGGCATTTAGGATTTGGGCCATCGGGTGGATAGCTGAGGGATCTATTGAGGCTGGAGGTGGATGGAGAGAACTGGGTTTTCGAGTTAACTTAGAATTGTGTTTTAGGCATGTCAATCTTGAGATACATTTTCAAGTGGAGAGGTTCAGAAAGTTGTGTTTGAGGAAACAACTATCAGAGCAGAATCTTTGGCGCACCAGGGTTGAAAGAATGATGAAGGTTGTTCATCATCATTGAAATGTCTTTAAGTGTATTCTGTGTTTTATTTGTAAAAAATAACTAATGTGTAGAAAAATGAGTGGAAAATAAATCATAAGAAACAACAATTGACCTCCAGGAATGCGATTTGGGGTCCAGAATTAGAAATATATTTTGGATTACTTTTATTCAGTCAGCAAATACATGTTTAGTACCTTCTTTGTGCCTAGAATTGTTCATGTCTGTTTCTGTGTCCCTGAATATTGGCAGTTTTAACAGCAAATCTTTAGAATTCCAGATGTATCACCTTGCCTTTGCCCCTGTGGAATGTAGTCAGGAGTAAGTTAACTGTTTTTTTTTTATCTAATCAAATAAAGATAATAAATATCTTGAAAGATTTAAAAATTAATAATATATCTAAAGCTCCGGAATAACTGTTGATTTATATATACTGTGTAGTGTGATGGATGTAGTAGAAAGATAGAATTTAAACATATTGGTTCTTATCCTGACTCATTTATTTTTGTCTGATTCTTTCATTTATTTTCTAGCTTTGTAAGTATAGGTAACCACACCTCTCTGTGCCTCCATTCTCTTAACTGTAAAGAAAGTAACGTTTGACTTTCTAGGGTTGTTAGGAGGATTAACTATATAATGTACATATATACTCTCTGACAGCCAGCAAATTTTCTGTAAAAGGCCATATAGTAAATATTTTTGGTTTTGTAGACCACATGGCATTTGTTCCAACTGTCATCTCTTGTCACTGTAGCAGGAAAGCATAAAGCAGAAGGCTGGATTTAGCCTGACTGCTATAGTTTACAGATACTTTGTAATCTGTAAAGCACTGTCTAAATGAGTAATTCTCATGACTTTTTCTCTTCTTCAGGCTAATGTAATGCTTGAATATGACATTGATGAAGCTCAGGCATTGTTGGAAAAGAATTTATCTACTGCTACAAAGAATCTTGATTCTCTTGAGGAAGACCTTGACTTTCTTCGAGATCAGTTTACTACTACTGAAGTCAGTATCCTTTGAAAGAAAAAGGAAGAAAGGAGAAATATTTTTAAGCATAAGTGATTTTGTTGTCTAATGGAAAGAAGGACTTTACTCTTACTCTCAGGTTTTGTAAGTTTTATAAGATATTAAATAACAATTTTTTGAGAGTATTATGTACCATGTGGCAAGGCTAGCCAGGAACCTAGTATTTTGGCCTTGAATTTGCGACCCTCTTGCCACTGTGCATTGCTTAATAAATATTTGAAAGCAGTACTTAAGTGGTTTATGGATAGATTAATGAATTTGAAATGCAGAGATGTAGAAACTACACTTTAACATTGGTAAATAAGTGGGTTTTTCAAATATTTTCCCAAGATACCTGTATAGCTAATTATTTAATTTCATAAGCATTTATTGAGCCTTTTGTGTTCCTGCATATGGGGTATGCAAATTACTAAGGGGAAAAAGAATGGCAAAGTCTTTCTCCGTTACACCTATACAAGTAAAATAGCCAAGTGATAAGCTTCATAGCAAATAGTAAGTTCATGTATACAATACCAGGCAGTTTAAAGTTTCTGAGCCTTTCAAGGTACTTTATTCTTCTGTACTTACTTACTGCTCTTGCACAAAGTACTTTGTATTTTTTCCCTAATTGCGAGCTCTTCAAGTATAGGAGCTGTAGCATGGTTAGTGCTAGAGTGAGGGAAGATGGCTCTGTTTATGCGGTGACTTTATTCTGCTGTGAAATGACAAAGACTTAAAAAGACTGGTACTTGTGGAAAGAAAAAGATGGTAAATGTGAGAGAGAAACAAGATCCAGTGTCGTAGTTATAAGAACTTAAAGAAAAGAAATAATCTGAGTCCTCTAAGCTTAGAGAAATGCCATTCATTATTAGTGTACAGACATGGGGGAGAGAGTTCTGCCATCTAAGCTACATGAAGGACCTGACCATACTTATCTTATTTAAGGCTTTATAGAATTTCTGTTTTTTTTTTTTGGTCCGGTCGTGGGGCCTGAACTCTGGGCCTGGGTGCTGTCCCTCAGCTCTAGCGCTCTACCACTTGAGCCACAGCGCCACTTTCGGCTTTTTTCTTTTTGCTTATGTGGTGCTGAGGAATCGAACCCAGGGCCTCAGGCATGCAAGGCAAGCGCTCTACCACTGAGCTACCTTCCCAGCCCCGGCTTTATAGAATTTCTAAACCAAAGGAAGGGTAAGAGATAAAATTATTGATAATTATACTAATTTTAAATATTGGAGGATATGAGTTGGGTTATTGATTTCTTGGATGAAGGCCTGTCTTTTAAAACTAAGCTCAACATAGTCACATGAACCATAGTCCAGCTACTTAGAAAGCTGAGACAGGAGGATCACTTGAGTCCAGGAGTACAAGGCAAGTTTAGGCAGCAGAGTAAGACTTTGACGCTAAAGAATGTTGAGAGTATCTAGGACATTTATTAAATGTAATACTATAGTTGACTTGATATGCTGAACAGCTGTGGATTGGAGGTCTTGTCTTGGTTTTGGTAGAAGTTAATTCATGTATTTTCTTAGAAGTTAATACATTAGTATAAGCAGTACGGCTGTTAACACTAGTTTTTTGCCTATATTTACATATGTGTGATTTCTGTGTCTTTGATTCAGTAAACAAATTGTATGAGTAAATAGCCATTTCATATATTACTTTGAGAATTATATTTGTGTTTTCCTTGACAATTCTTACAGATATGGCCAGGGTTTATAATTGGGATGTAAAAAGAAGAAACAAAGATGATTCTACCAAGAGCAAAGCATAATGCTGACAACAAAAAATGTGATTCAGTTTTCCAAACATGTTGTTTTAAATATATGTGTTTTTCCTTTAAAGGTTGACATTAGTTTTATTTTTTAACAAGAATGATTAAAATTTAAGATAAACACCCATTTTATTTATTTATAAACAAAATATATTTCAAATAGTACAGAAAATTATTTCATACTTCCCAACAAAATTAATGCTGTTTTTTTATCTTTTTTTTTTTTTTTTTGGTGTATCAAATGACAACTCAACTGAAATGGCCGGAACTGTGAAGTATGCTATGGAAGGCTGAATGCTGGGCACTAGCAGTTTACTTTTCTTTATTAATCGACGTTACTCTCATTTGATATGGTTAACTATTTTAGAGTTAGGAACTACAGTTTCATTATGTGTAAACTTGTTTTTCTTTATACTTATAGACATTATGTTGCTTTCTGTTGTGTTGTCAGTTGTATAAATGGGATTTCATGAGTTACCACCTAACCAATAACTACTATTGAGACAACACTTTTAACCCCACATAAGTGCGTAATGTCTTTTTGATGCCAGTATAAGGGAGATCTTGGCCAATGGGAGATACTACACATTTGAAATGCATAGCTGATTCTGTATTTTTTACAAAACCATTCTCCAAAGCATCTTGAACAGGAATATTTGGATAAATGTAAATCTGAAATGGTTAAAAAGAATTGTGAGCTTTTTCATTCATAAATCTGCATAGGAATAAAAAAATTTCAGTGGAAAGCAATTTATACTATGGCAAAAGTATTGGATGATATCAATTCTGGTAAAAACACAAATGTGTTATTCTATCTCCATGTAATAAAAAGTATACTAGTACAATATTTTTGTACTTGTATTTCCTGTTATTAAAGCAATGATATTGAAACTGTAGTATGATACTTTTTCATGTTATTTTTTTGTGTTTGTCTTTAATCTGTTTGGGCTGCTATGACAGAATGCCATAGACATAGCTTATACACAGTAGATATTTATTTGTCTTAGTTTTGGAGGCTGAGAAGTCCTATGATCAAGGTGTTAGCAGGTTCCATGCTTGGGGAAGGCTTCTTCCATCACTATGTCCTCTTATGATTGATCGAGATGAGGAAACACCCTTGGGCCTCTTCTATAAGGGCACAAATCCCATTCATGAGGACAGATCCCTCATGGTCCACCTATATTGTAAAGGTCCTGATGCCAGTATTTTTATAACGTTTTTAAGCATTTTGAAGTATTGTTCTATTTTTTTTTTATTTTGGCAAATGTATTGGTACAAAATGTCCCTGTTAATATTTAAACAGGAATGATTTTTCTCCTCATTGAACATCTTGTTTTTACCACAAAGATTTAAATATGAATTTTAAGTAATATAAGAAATATGAAGAAACAAGCTTTTTATCAGTATGAATGCTATTGCAGACTGAGGCCAGCTCCAGAAGCAAAATTTGTGAGCCCACTTCTCAACAGAAAAGTGGGTATGGTAATTTGAGCCTATCATGCTAAGTTACGTGGGAGAATTCCATTTCTAGTTTATTGAAGCTCTCATTATGATTTGTGTCTTGTGTCTTCCTATAAAGAATTTTCTATTTTTTATGACAATTTGATTATATCTTAGTATAGCCTGGTTTGGATTGGATCTTATTGGAGATCTTGGACCTTCCTATACCTGAGTATTTTTTTTTTAATCATTTCACAGATATGGAAAGTTTTCTGATATTTTAAAAAAATAATTCTCCTTTATCTTTTTCTCATTTCTAATGCCTATAAATATGTAAATTATCTATTTTGAGAAATTCATAAATCCTGTAAGCTTTCATTGTTTCCTCCATTGTTTTCTATGAACCTTTATTTTTAATTTCACAGATTATTTCTTCTCCATCAGTTTGCTGTTGAGTTTTGCTACTGAAATTTTAATTTTACTCTTTGTATTTTTTCAGCTCCAGAACGTTTTAAGTTTTGTAAAAATTAATATCAGTCTCTTAAATTTCTCATTTTAGTCATTTTTTTCTGAATTTTGTTTAATTATTTCTCTGCATCTTAACATTTACTGAGCTTTCTTAAAACAATTTTGAATTTTTCTTGTTAGGAATTTTATTCATCTCCATTGTAGCATAGGTCAGCTCAGAAAGTACTGTGTTCTTCTGGTGATGTTATATCTCCTTGTTTTTTTCACATTCTTCTGTTCATGCGTATGCATTTGATGGGCCAGTCACCACTGCAGAAAGACTTTGTCTTGTGGGGTTGTGAGACATGAGAGCACTCACAGCTTTATCTGGCACCAGTGAGTAGAGCTCTAATACTGAGGTCATTGTTGATGAATATTTTAGCAGTCCCTAATGACCAACACTGAGGATTTCCTCAGTGGTTACATGGGTTGTTGTGGCCCTCAGTGGTGATCGATTCCAATGATCCTTTGATGTCTTTTGAAAGAAATTTTAATTGAGCTTAGAATCTATCTAAGCTTAATGTATCTAATTCTCAATTATAATAAAGCTGTAGGTTTCAGTACCAGAGTAAAGTGGCAATGCTAGATTTTCTGTATCTTGTGTCTGAAAGATAGACACCAGTTATTGGCTAAAATGTGTTGTGGTTACCCTTGTCTCCATTTGGTTCTTAGGTACTGTTTTACCTGAGAGAAGGCCAAGTTCTAGGAAAAATATTTTTTTTTCTTAAAGAAAGAGAGGACAAGTCTCAAAAGAATGATGGTCTTGAAGACCAGAACAAAACGTAACAAAAAGAAAAACAGAGCAAGGAAATCTGTGTCTAGAGGTAAACATAGGAGAGGTAGAAACATAAGCTGGGAGCTCTCCCAGAATCCTTTCCATTCTTCTCTGGTCCCTATCAAAACTTTCTCCTGTGTGTCCAGTAATTTTTCTACCATCACCCCTATCCTCTGCCTGTCCTATTTCCTGCTGTTTAAAGTTGTATTAGGAATTTCTGAAAGTCAGTCATGTCCAAACTGCTTCACAGAGAAATTCAGATAACTATTATAGGGACACTGCTTACCCATTCCATTGGCCAAAGAAAGGAATATTCTAAGAGCAGATTACAGAGTATGATCAAAGCATATGTGTGCAACTAAGATATTTGGTGTGTGTCTGTGTGTGTTATAAGACAGAATTATTTGTATTCTTAAGCCAGACACTGGTGGCTCATGCCTGTAATCCTAGCTATTCAAGAAGCTGAGATTTGGGGATAGTGGTTCAAAACTAACTCAGACAGAAAAGTCCGTGAGAATCTTATCCAATTAACCACCCAAAAGCCAGAAGTGGAGATGTAGCTCAAATGGTAAAGCTTAGGCTTGAGCAAAGAAGTTCAGAGACAGCACCCAGGCCCTGAATATAAGCTACAAGACCAGTACACACACAATTCAGATTTTTGTTGAGTAATAACAAGATCCCTTTTTTTTTTTTTTTGTCAGTTGTGGGGCCTGAACTCTGGGCCTGGGCACTGTCCCTCATCTCTTCAGCTCAAGTCTAGCACTCTACCACTTGAGCCACAGCACCACTTCCTGCTTTTTCTGCTTATGTGGTGCTGAAGAATCGAACCCAGTGCCTCATGCATTCAAGGCAAACACTGTACCACTGAGCTACCTTCCCAGCCCCTAGAAATTTTAAGTGCTTAAAAAGTGGCATGTGAGTGAGCATAGGAGGCCCTGAGTTCAATCGCCAGTAACCACATACACAAAAAAACACACAAATTTTAAGGCAGATGCTGGTAGCTCTTGCTTGTAATCCTACCTTCTTAAGAGGCCAAAACCATGGTTCAAAGCGACCCTGGGCAGAAAAGCTTATGAGAGTCAAATACTGGACTCAAAATACTGAACTGGAGGTATGGCCAGTACAGGCATATATGTGCATGTGTACATGAGCACACAGATGAAAGAAAAAAAGTGATATGTCTCAATATTGTACTTTTTCTCGTATTAATTATTGGTGACTTCAGTATTCATGTACATTCTTCAAACTGCTTGGCCTCTCCTTACAGTAATGTCCTCTTTTCCCTATCCCTTAACCACTTATTCCCTCGTCACATCTGTGATCTTGTCACTAGCAATCACTGCAGCTCCTTCCTGATATCAGCCTCAGTCCACTTTACTCTCTGACCATCACCTCTTCCCTTTGCAGGGTTTTATTTCTCCATATGTCCGCACTTCTCTCCTTTTGTAGTTCAACTGGTTACTTCCTTGCAGTGTTCTGAATACCCTTGGCCCCATTCAGATTTAGTGTACTGACTTTACAAAATCACTACCTATGTTCAGTACAATTCCTAGTCACATTAATGTGGTTAAAAATACTCCCACTGCAAGTGGATGATGATGCTGTGCAGTCATTGATTCAATCCCCTTGTAGGCAGTGATATTTTGTACCCTCTTCCCTGGCCCTAAAGTCTGTTCCTCCTGTTCTTGCTTCTTAGTTTACAATGGGATTGAAGCCACTGGAAGAATCTATGCATTCCATCAATAGCTACCAACCATGTGCCTGTGATAAAGAGCATTCACCTAAACCATAGTATCCAATATCATTATAATAGAAGCTGTGTTTGGTTCAGGAGGTTTTTATTTTTATTATTTTTGCCAGGCCTGGGGCTTGAACTCAGGGCCTGAGCATTGTCCCTGAGCTGCTTTTGCTTCCAGCATTTTTTGTTTATGTGGTGCTGAGAACACAGGGCTTCATGCATGCTAGGCAAGCATTCTGCCACTAAGCCACATTCCCAGCCAGAATTTTTATTTTTTATTGTTATTAATAGTTGTAGAGAGGGTTACAGTTCCCTAAGTCAGGTTATGGGTACAGTGCTTCTTGGTCAATGTCACCCTTTCCCTTTGCTCACCCATTTCCCCCCTCCTGTTCTTACCTATGAGATACATAGTTCATTTTGTATATAGTGTACATTGAATACAGTGGTTGCATTTGCTCACCCTTTCTCCATTTCTGTGTCAGGAGCATTTTTTGGCAAGGTAAAACCTCACCTCAGCTGTTTGGCTGGCAGCAGGAACTCCTGCAGCTCAACTCTGTACTTGTTCCACAGACTCTACTCCATCTTCATCTCAGCTCCCAGCTCTGTCCTAACCAAAGCATTATTTCCAGAGCAGTATGTGTTGTACTTCTAACATTCCCTGATGCAACCTTCTTTCAGCTAACTTCTGGCCTGGACAATTTTTTGTGTTTTTTTTTTTCATTTTCTTTTTTTTTTTTATTGTGAAAATACTGTACAGAGGGGTTACAATTACATGGGCAAGATAATGAGTACATTTCTTATCAAGCATTGTAGCCTGCTCCTTTGCTCCTTTGTTTTCCCATCCCTTCCCATCCTCCCCCTGCCCCCCTCAATCCTCCTGCCCACCCCACCCCCCGCCCATGCACCAAAGTTGTAAAGTTCGTTTTCGACGTAACAACTTGTACATCTCATTGTTGTAATGGGTCCAAAACAATTTGTTTTTCCCCTCCCCCTCCACAAATTATACTGACATGAAATACAGTGAAAGCAGGGGTTATACTGTGGGGGAGGGCCATACAAAGCAACAAAGAAACAATCTTATAAATGTGTTAGAAACAATCACATGAAAGAAAAAAAAACATTTGAATACCTATCTTAGGGTTCATTTCCCTAACATCACCTTATCTGACCTTTTCTGCTTGACTCAGACATATACTAGATATTGCAAGTAAGGGATACCATGGGATCTATGTTTCTTTGGGTGGCCTGGACAGTTATTCCTGGTACCAATGACATTTTTTTGAATGTTCTGCTGTGAAGTTGTATTGGTTTTAAGTTACATGTGCAAACCTGTTTTCCCTTAGGCCTTGTTATTGTTTATTAATTTTCTTTTCTTTCTTTTTTTTTTGGTCGGGTCGTGGGCCTGAACTCTGGGCCTGGGCGCTGTCCCTCAGCTC